CGATTTTCTAAGCTGCCCCGATAAATTTGATTTTACTTACATTACTTGTGTCGCAATGAAGAATATACATATCGAGATATTAGCTACCGTTGCTTTGTACAGGATGGCCAACAAAGAATGCGAGGTACTGTATCTGAGAATCTATCCATCGTAGAGGCTTGCGGTAATAAATTTATTACTAAAACGGCCACGAGCAAAACCTAAAAAATATTTTTAAGTTTCTGAAATGACCGCTAAGGGACGTAACTGCAATCTGGAATCTAAAAAAGTGATGTTTCTGTGAATTCCGCTATATTAACCTAACAAAAAAATGTCCGGTCTTTGAAGTTGATGATAATCTGAACAAGTTTAGCTGTATCTCTAAAAATGAAGTGGTGGGGGGGTATTCAAAGGTTTCCGTAAAGAACACCCTGTATCTTCGAAACGACTGAGCCGATTTTAACAAACTCGGGTTAATTGAAGAGTTAGTCTTCGGCTACAGTTTTGTTAGTTTCATAATTCATAATTCCGGAAAAATGAGCTTAAAAAAATAAAATTTTGAGGGTATAAAATTTTAGGTTAGGAACAAGATATCGAGATGCGGTTTTCGCGAACTTGTTTAGGCATCATTTAGCTACTTTTTCATGACAAAAAAATCAAACCAACGCATTTAATTTTTTTGAGAAAGTTAACCATTTCTGTCGGAATGTCGAAAAAACCCTCAACCGGCGATATGTGAAACTAACAAAACTTCAAATATTATAATATTTGTAGCCGAAGAATAACTTTTCAATTAACCCGAGTTTGTTAAAATCGGCTCAGTCGTTGCGAAGATACAGGGTGTTTATTACGGAAACCTTTGAATAACCTCCACCACTTTATTTTTAGAGATACAGAAAAAATTGTCAAACAAAAAAGGTTAGATTATCATCGTCTTCAAAGACCGGACATTTTTTTGTTAGCCTAATATAGCGGAATTCACAGAAAAATCACTTTTTTAGATTCCAGATTGCAGTTACGCCCCCTAGCGGTCATTTCACAAACTTAAAAATATGTTCCAGGTTTTTCTCGTGGCCGTTTTAGTATAACTTTTTTTACCGCAAGCCTCTACGATGGACAGGTTCCCAGATACAGTACCTCGCATTCTTATTTGACCACCCTGTACATTAGTTTTTGAAGTTACCGAGACTTTGTCCGAAGCCGAAGCCGAATGTACAATTTTTAGTAGTGCTATTTGTTCTACTCCGAAGAATTTGTTCATTTTGAAATGGTTAGATTGATTGCTGTTGATCAGAACCTTGGTTATTTGAGCATCGTAAAGTAGTTTTCTTGAATCGTTTATGCTTTTATACAGATGTAAGGATAATCCCTGGTTGGACCAAAATTTTGGTTTTTATGGAGTAAAGTCATTCAAATTATTGATTCTTATTGAGTATTAAGCACGGTTTAATTCCGATTGCCTCAGGATCAGATGTTAGCTTTACTTACGCAATATTTTATGTGCCGCGCTATTTACTACCCCTCTTGTTTGTTTGTTTGTTGAGTTCTATTTGTTTTTATTAGAAACCCAATGAGCGAAATCTGCGAAATTGTCGCGATATTCGCTTACTGTAAAAGCTTTTCTAGAGGTGAACATGGTTCCTCTGCGCATGCGCGTCCTACTTTCTACTATTACATAATACCATGCGCATTCTACCTGTTTTTAATTAAAAAGAATGACGGCTCTGCACATGCGTATTTTACTCCGCATCCCTACTTTTTCAATTTCACAAAAACAGCTTACAAAATGGTGCTAATACTCGTAGGTTAAAGCGGTAATCTTTAATCGTTAACCGCTAGAGTGCGCCTACTTAACTCAATCACGCGCGTATAAATTGCATCAATCACAACCCACCAGATTTCCAGATCTCCGAGTTCGCGATTCTCAACCCACCCCACGCAATCACTATGAGCAATTCTAATTAAGCTGTTTTAGTCACGGAGAAGACATTAAGATTGTGTTATCGCCCGTCATGACCGGTCACGCCTACGATATATCGCTTATCTTATATCGACTCAGTATGAACGCCGCCTAACACCTAAAACTGAACTACCCTGCCGAAATTGAACTCTAATTTGGACAATCGCCCTTCAAAATTATTCCAACTACCAAAATCTCATAAAAATGCGTCTACACTCATGCGTCCCAATTCCTGTATACAGGGTGTAGCATCCAAGACCCCTCGGGTCATAATTCGTTTACCGTAAAAGATACCATCACCGTGTTTCTAAAATATTCTTGACCACCAGGGGCGTGCTGTATTCCAGTGGCGTATCTAACATGCCTTTTTTTTAATGGAACACCCCATAAAAAACAAGTGCATCCATGGTCGAAGCAATGTAAGAAAGATGAAAAATGTCGGCTCAGTGTATTACACTTATGGAGTTTCTTACGAAAATCAAGATAGCGCGCAACAAGCCGAAAAAGGTAAAAATATACTAATAAAAATATTGAGGACTATAATAAAACTCCGCGATCTTATTCGTCTTCAAGAACTTAAAGTTGAGAATCTACTCGTTTATTTAAGGATCCTCTAGCTAGATCTTCATTAAAAGAAGTTATTTGGATGCCTTTTTTTTCACGATAAGAAACGCTTCTTTGAGCACATTTTCCACAGATAACTAAACGTTTCCGTAACACGCGACGCCATGAAGCTACTAGTAAAAAAAACTAACCTTGTAATTTTGTCATTTTGTTGTGCCTACTACACGTCGGCAATTATCGTAGATTTGGTACAATAGAAACAAAATGAAAAGTCTTACCAGATCGGTTTGACATATAGTCCTATTGTACAGGAATTTCTCTTACCTGAAAAGAAAAACAAAATCATTAACAATCGAAAACAAACTCAATTTCAAACAAACACAAGTATAAATTGGGCTCAGATAAACGTATGGTTAAGATAGTCGGTGGCGTGTGGGGTGGTATTGCCTTAGAACATAAAGGAGTTGACGGTGCTGTAGTTCACATCAGGCGCAATTGAAATTCTTAATGGTCTTGTGTAGTTACAAATTTGAATTATACTTGATGCCAAAATCACACCGGTCACATTTTAAATCCATGCCTTAACAAATGTTCGATGTTAAGATGTGCTGTTTAAGACTAAATTTATGTTTGGTGACGAAATCGCACTGGGACACTTTAAATCATTGGTGATCTTGTATGTTAATAAATGTGTTTTATTAATCATTCGTTGCATACTCGCACTGGACACATTTTAAATTATAGGTAGTCGTGTGTTAAAATGCTGTTGCGCATGTGCGGTGTTCCACTTACGGTGCAAAATATACCTCTGTCTGTGTTAGGTATGTACTCCTAATTGAAAATAAAAGGGAGGCTGTAGGTATCTATATATATATGAACTAAGATTCAAATAGCGAAAAGTCAGACCTATCGCCAAATGTTCTGAAATAAAAACTCTCAATATTGAGTATAATTTACTATAGCGCGTTTGTACCTCCAGACGCAGTCTGGGTCTTATGGACTAAATGCCTCTGTTATTAAGTTGCGTCATTCTTCGATAACGCTATCCTTGTTCCTCACCGCAATGATGCCAAACTGGCATATGATTGAATTAAAGTATTAAAACACAACATAATCTCCTTCTACTGTCATTTTCACATTTGGCAAGCCTGTACTGTACCTCCATTAAGCACCATACTGCATCTGGAGATCCGAACGCGCTATAACAAGTACACATTTTACAGCAAAATAGTTGCATAACGTGTATAGGGTGAACCAGAAATGTGGTCCATGGAAAACTCGTGGCGTGTCCCATGAAGACTCTTCACAAACTTCAAAACTCTTTAAATCTATACAACACAACTAAAGGCCCTCAAATACTATATTTTTAAACAATGCTAATATTAGGGTGCATAATTTAAATCCAGTCAGGTACAGGGGTACGACTACCTATATTCCGAAAAGAAGACTGTGGAATGTTTTCAAAATTTGATAGTATAATAGTATAGTAATGCCGAGAAGAAAAATTCATCTAAACTATTTTCAAATTGGCGGCGCTTATACATACCAACATGCTTATTTCAAATAGAACACCCTATATATTATATCATAAATGTTAAGTAAAATAATAATGTCCTATACCTAAATTGAGCTATTTTTGACATATGTCAAGAATGACCTTTGCAGCCTAAATCATAATTTCCATTTTTTGCTATGCGAACAGTTATTTTATTCATACTTGTTTATTTTACCGCTAGAGGTCGTGCACATGTAATTTCCGTGGTTAAAAATTACCCTTTCTTTGATTTTCTTTCTATGCGTGCGCACTACTACTACCCGTATAAGATCGATTCTTGCTTCAATGGTGACTTGTAAGAAACAATTCACGCTGCCATATTTTTATTTTTTAGGAGATGTAAGGGTTATTTTTTTCCGTTACGAAGAATACATCTTTCGACACTCGGATTTTATCTACGTTACTTTTCGTTGTACCGACGATTCATTAATGTTAGTTTATTTACGTTTTAAATCCTTTAGATTAGTTTTGTTATACGTCATTTTTTGCTTTGTAAATGAGTTTTTTGAAGTTACGACGAGACCTACTCTACTTTGCCTGCGCTTACCGTCCTTATCTAAAGATAATTTTGTTGCATGTGCTCAAAGTGCATGTAACACCACTCTATTTATTTATAATCAAAAATCAACAGTCCACAAAAGTGGAACCTCTTCTAAAAGGAAATCAACAGGTCTCGTGCAAAAAAATTTCGCAATTATGATTTTCGCCATATCATTTGCACAAATTGGCAATGTCCTTATGGAATATTCGGTTAGTAACCTACGAATTATTTAAAAAGGCGTGAATCATTAGGAAATTCCAATACGAGGTAAAGTGAAATCGTTCGGAGTTGAAGTTCAAGTAGGCAAAAATCTACACTAATAAGATAATGTCACTCGAGGAGTAGATAAAAACGAACTTCCCTATAAAGAACTGTAATAGTATTTTCATTCACTCTTTTACAAACCGCTTATGCTGAAAGAGGTGCAAAATGAAAGCCCTAATATACGTGATATTGTTCTTCGTAAGTATAAAATTGTTAATGTGAATTATTCATTTTTGTTTGTAGTTGGTCACAATCGTTCAATCGAGAAGCGTCAATGTTTCTGCGACTGCAACCGCTAATAAGACTCGTGACATCTCATTCATCGACAGTATCTTAGAAGCTATATCTGAGATTATATCAAATGGTAGCCCCGAAGTATCAGTACCCGAGGATTCTTGGGTGCATGTAGAGACAACAACCACTGAAGATCCTTGGTGGTATACAACAGGATCTACATCTTTAGCACCTACAGAAACTCCGCCGTTTACAGAAGAATCCACATCAATCCAACCATCAGAAGGTCCACAGTCAACAGAATCAACCACTGGAAGTAGTTGGGGACCTTTATCTACTGATCCGATTACAACAGACTTACCGACCGTAACATCAGAAGCAACCAGTGGCAGTACTGTTACTACCACAGACGCAACGGAGTCTTCATCTACTGTTATTACCACAGAGGCAACGGAGTCTTCATCTACTATTACTACCACAGAATCACCGTCGACCACATTAGAACAAACAAGTGAAAGTGCTTGGGAGTCTTCATCTACTGTTATTAGCACAGACGCAACGGAGTCTTCATCTACTGTTATTACCACAGAGGCAACGGAGTCTTCATCTACTGTTATTACCACAGAGGCAACGGAGTCTTCATCTACTATTACTACCACAGAATCACCGTCGACCACATTAGAACAAACCAGTGAAAGTACTTGGGAGTCTTCATCCACTGTTACTACCACAGACGCAACGGAGTCTTCATCTACTGTTATTAGCACAGACGCAACGGAGTCTTCATCTACTGTTATTACCACAGAGGCAACGGAGTCTTCATCTACTGTTATTACCACAGAGGCAACGGAGTCTTCATCTACTATTACTACCACAGAATCACCGTCGACCACATTAGAACAAACAAGTGAAAGTGCTTGGGAGTCTTCATCTACTGTTATTAGCACAGACGCAACGGAGTCTTCATCTACTGTTATTACCACAGAGGCAACGGAGTCTTCATCTACTGTTATTACCACAGAGGCAACGGAGTCTTCATCTACTATTACTACCACAGAATCACCGTCGACCACATTAGAACAAACCAGTGAAAGTACTTGGGAGTCTTCATCCACTGTTACTACCACAGACGCAACGGAGTCTTCATCTACTGTTATTAGCACAGACGCAACGGAGTCTTCATCTACTGTTATTACCACAGAGGCAACGGAGTCTTCATCTACTGTTATTACCACAGAGGCAACGGAGTCTTCATCTACTATTACTACCACAGAATCACCGTCGACCACATTAGAACAAACCAGTGAAAGTACTTGGGAGTCTTCATCTACTGTTTCTACCACAGACGTAACGGAGTCTTCATCTACTGTTCCTATCACCGAAACAACGACCGTAACATCAAAAACAACCACTGATGCGCCTACGTCGTCTACAACAGAATCCACTTCAACCGAAACAACAGAACCTCCACTTCCACCGAGCGTTTCGTTCATGTGCCGAACATCCGGAATGTACCCCGATCCATTCGACTGCCTCACCTACCACCACTGCGCTCGTAACGAGGAAGACGGCTGGAGTCAAAGCACGTTAAGGCACTTCACCAACAGATGCAACTGCGGGTACGCGTACAACGCAAGAACCACCTTTTGCGACATACCGCTAAGAAACAACACCTGCGACTCCTCCGTCGCTACCTGTGAACATCAAGGGCAAAACGGCGCGTTAAGGCAGAATCCCTCCCTGTATTACATCTGTCAGTATCATCCAAATGGACCGTTGTATCCGTTCGTCTACGCCTGCGACAATGGAAAGAAGTATAATGCGTATTTGTATCTTTGCGAATAATTTTCTTTGCGAAATAAAAAATTTTGACGAATCCATTTTCAGTGTAGAGTATATTTTATTGTAATAGTACGAAAAGTATCTACGCTTGAGACACTTGCCAAGGAAGGCAGTGATAATTTAATTATATCCATTACCTAATTTACTTGTTTAATTTCCCTTTAGGACAAAGGCGCTGATAACCAATTTCGATATCCCTGTTGCAAATAGATTAAATTTGGATAAAGCGATCAGTTTTTAATCTATCTGATTTTTTCTGAATCGTTTGAAATTTGAACCTCTCTAGATTTTTTCCTGTTCAATTTTTTTTGGAATTTTTAGGTTATGTTTTTGTATACTCTCTTCATATCATTTCTACTTCACTGCTCCGATTTGTCTGAATTTTGTCTGAATTTGAATTGAAAGCTTACAGGTGCTTCTCTGGCGATTCGGAAATCCATTGGTCGAATTAGCTGGGGGAGGAGCTTCAACTGTCATAAGCACCCAACCGAAATTAAATTCTCCCACAACAGTCTTAAAACCGACGCAGAGGCTTCACACAAACGTTTAAAAGGAAATTAGACGAAACGAAATTTTTTGAAAAAAATCATAAGATAGCAACCACCATTATCAGAGGCCGTTTTGGAAGTGAGTGCTTAAATATAAATATCAGGAAATCGATAAGAAAATTAATTAGTGTCACATTGTTACAGTAAATTTTTGATAAGATACGTTCTTTTTCCTCATACGTATCTATTATCGAAATTTCAGGTCACTCACAAAAAAGAGTTTGAAGAGGGGTGGTGGTGGTGGTGGAGGAGGAAGACTATGGTTGGTAGAAATTAATTCCTTTCATTGAGACCTTTCATTAGAGTACCACGAGGGACAAAAGCAGCCCCCCCCCCAAAAAAAAATTTACTTAGCACCACTAACACTAAAGGCATGCAACCTATTGCTTGTCTTAAAAGTTATGCTCCAGCATCTCAGGAAATATATTTGAGAGGAGATAAACAGAGGAAAAAAGAAAAATAGAGGCGGGGGGGATACATTAGTAATTAGAGGAATGGAAAAGAAGACTATCGAGTTACTTCAACAAAAGTAGGAGAAAGAGGGGGCTATGGAAGAGGTAGAAAGAGAGGAAATTGAAGATGAGATAACAAAAAAGGAGACCGAGCAGTTATTAACAAGTTAAAAAATAATCGTAAACGATTTACATAGAGCGCATTTCCACTTGCATTCATTTCCCATTTGCGGACGGACGGACGGACAAAGTGACCACATTAGCGCATTTCCACAAAAATAAAAAAACGCGCTATTGTGGCCACTTTGTCCGTCCGTCCGCTCGTTCTATAAGACGCTACTAGTTCTTTATCTTGAGAGCCATTGTTCTACTTTTTTCGCTATTTGGTGTCGAGGCTTGCACCAAGGAAGGAATTTTTTCTGCGTTTATTGCTAAAAAAGTTATTGTAAAAAAACGAACAAACCGTTTTTTACATGTTCCACAATTTTACACTCTTGCCGTTTATTAACGATTCTAGAGATCGTTTATAATTTTGTATTGCTGTCTGTCGTCTGTCTGTTGGTCTGTTCCTTTGTCTGTATGTCCCTCTATCTGTCCGTGTGAACGAAAACTTTGTTTAGAAATGTCCGATCGCTTTTACATCTCCGTTAGTTATGAACTGAATTGCATGAAATTTAATAATAATAAACTTTTTAATGCCGTTAAATTACAAAATGTAACATTGGCGCGTCAAAACATATAAAACAGTTAATGTATATGGACAGTATACGCAGTAACACAGACAAACAATAACACAATCAAGCTTTTAAATACTCGTCCACCGAGTAGTATGGGTGGTTGAGAAAAAAATCCCGAGAAGCTGTTTTGAAGTGAACATGCGTGCTATGCTTTCGAATATCGCGAGGCAGATGGTTGTACAGCTTGATGCACATGTATTTTGGAGATTTGGCGTACAGAGTTGTAGCGTGATGGGGTACAGAAAGATGGTCCGCATATCGTGTCTGCATGCCACTGTTGACCTCCTTGTTGGTTACAAATTCGTGGCGGTTTAGAGAGACGTATAGCACACATTTATAAATATATAATGCGTGAATAGTCATTATCTTGAGTCGTTTGAACAACGGTCTACAGTGCTCCCGAGGCTCACTATAGCAAATACGGCGAATGATGCATTTTTGGATTTTAAGAATTCTGCTGCTAGCGGGAGAATTTCCCCAGATGGTGATGGCATATGATAGATGACTCTGTATATGTGCATAATAATATGTAAGAAGTGTTGTTTGTTGCACTTTGTGTCTCAGACAAAGCACCGCGTAACTGGCTCTGCGTAGTTTGCCGCATAGTTCGCTTGTATGAACTGTCCAATTGAGGTTCTCGTTTAAGGTTACACCTAGAAATTTTTGGTTGGTGTTTACGGTTATGTCTTTACCGTTGGACTTAATTTTGGCGTGAGTGCCAGTAGTATGAAGATGGACATTTCGATATATGACTACCGCCCCGTTTTTTCTTCGTTCAACTTCAACCGATTAGTGGCACACCAATCGGACATAGCGCGAATTGCATTATTTGCAGAATCTACTACCGTGTCCATACCAGAACCCGAGATAATTACCGATGTATCGTCTGCGTATTTGCATAGGGTGGCGGTGGTATATTCGAAGGCAGAGTATCCATATCATTTACATAAATGACAAAAAGGAGCGGCGCCAGAGTTGAGCCCTGAGGAGTGCCGACAGTGGGTTTCAAAGTAGAGGAGTTGAATTTAGCAATAACTATGTTGCCATTTCTTTCCGTAACTTCAACAAATTGCGATCTTCTCGATAAGAACGCTGAACGATTGTATCAGTTGCCGGCCAATTCCAACGTAATTCCATAGATTTCTAGCTTCTCCAGCAGGAGTTCGCGATTAATTATCGAAGGCCTTCGATATATCGAAGTAGATGCCCATTGTATATAATTTCTTGTCCAGGGATTCGGAAATATCATTGATAGATTTAAAAAGGCCCGAAACAGTCGATTTCCCCTTAATAAATCCATATGTTGTGTTTTCGAGAATAAGTTGAGCTTGTCAAGGTAATCAGATATTCGTGTCGCTATGCAGGTTTCTATGATCCCTGAGAATACTGAAGCGATTGATATGGGTCGATAATTCCCTACCTGCTGCCGATCGCCCTTCTTATATACAGGAATTACTCTTGTAGTTTTTAGGGAATGAGGGAAAACCCCACTGGTAAACACGTCGTTTGTAATATGGATTAATGGTTTGACAATAGTCATTGCTATACATTTTAATATTTGACCAGGGATTCTTTCTGCGCCAGAAGACTTCCTTTTTGATACTTTATTAATGAGATGGAGAAATTCGGATTCCGAGACCGGTCGAAGGAAGAAGGAACAGGAAGTGCGTCGTGGTATGGATTCATTGTTAGCCACAGTAGAAAATGAGTTGGCAATTGCAGTTGCGCTATCTATGAAATGTTTGTTGAAGATTTCCGCTATTTGGGCGGGGTCTTTAACATTGCTGTTGTTATGCACTATCGAGAGTTCATTCGGTGCTTTTTTGCGCGTGGACATGATACTTTCGTTTATTAGATGCCACACGGCCTTGTTCGGATTGTTCGAATTTGTAATATAGGTAGTAGTCGTTACACTCGCGTTTGGCTTTATCGATTATTCGGCAATACTTCTTTTTAAGTAGGTATTTTATAATTGATTAGGACATCGCGATTACCGGTAACTTTCCACAGGAAGTGTTGGTCCTTAAGGTCTTTACTCATTGTCCTTATTTCTGGGGTAATCCATGGTCGAGGGTGTTTGGCGGTGTATAAGGAACTCTTATATTTTTTTAAAGGAAATGCTGTTTGAAAGTAGTACTGAAGTATGCCCACAAAACAATCGTACTTCGTGTTTGTGCATGTGCTTTCATAAACAGAATTCCATGTTTCTGTTTTGATTGCATTGTAGAAAAACCGTTTGTTATGATTCGAGTAAACTCTTTTTAGAACCCAGCCCTCGTCTTTTTTGATAGAAGAGTCGACACTTATTGTCAATAGAATAGCCATATGGTCGGAAAATCCGCACTCGAGCACCTCCGCATTATCATATT